ACTAAGGTTTTTGATCCCTATTGAGAGGGGTTTTCCTTATAAACATCTTTTGCCACTATGGTTGTGATTATGGCTTGCATACACTATATCAAACAGGTTTCATAAGTACTTGTGAAATCATAAAATTAACTCAGTATTGTGAGAAGTTTTGTAAAAGAACCAGTTCACCCCCTTTTTTGTTCATTAATTGGTATCATAGCTTTGATCTGTTGTTCAAAGGTTTTAATCAACCTGCAGAAAAGATCTTGAAGAAATGGATGAAAGGCAAGTTACAAACAAAACACTAGGGTTTAATGAATCAAACTATGATTCTTAGAAAACCATAATAGAGGCCATCTTGATGTCTCAATCTTATGATGTATGGCATACTAAAATAGCTAGAATTATGGTTCTCAATCCAAATAATCCCTCAGCTGATGATAAGACAACCTTAGAAAATGATAGAAGAGAAATGTACGTTCTATTTTGTGCTCTTAAGCAGTAACAGTTCACTAGAATCAAGAACTACAAAACAGCTAAGGAAATGTGGGACTCTTTAAAGGTTGCTCATGAATGAAACAATGTGATCAAGGAAAACAAGATTTAACTTTTGAAAGTTCAATATGAAGCTACAAGATGGAAAAAAGGGGAAGCTGTATTTGAATTTGTTCAGGATCAATGAATTTGTCAACAATATAAAGGCTATTGGTGAAGATGTAAAAGACTTTGATGTGTGCAAGAAGATCCTTAGGTCCTTAACTCCAGGGTTCAATGCAAAGGTCGCCATTTTTGAAGATAAAGACATGTCACATATAAAAATTAATGACCTACAAGCTTCTCTCACAGCTTGTGAAATGAGAATTGGAGTTCTCACTCAACAAAGAAGAGAAGCAACTCTTAAGACTAAAGAAGTTGTTGAAGAAGGTGAACATAAATCTGATAAAGATGATCTAGAAGAAGATAAAGTGGTTTACCTAGCCAAAAAGTTCAAAAAATTCAGATTCAAAAAGTAAGCACAGTCTCAGAACCAGACTTACTATAGTTGTGGCAAAATAGGTCACTATATGGTTAACTGCCCTAACAACAAAGGTCAAAATCGAAAAAAGCCTGATACTTTCAACAACGTACGGAGGCAAGTTTGAAAGAAATGAATTGATTTCAGATTGGGATACAGCTGTAATACACCTAATTTTTAGAGAATTTAATTTATTATTTTAATTTCTTTTTTAATTATTTTATTTTGCTAATTGTTATTAAATGATTAAGTGACTATTTGATTAATTTGGTTAATTAGATTATTTTAAATTATTTAATGTGCATTACTTGTCATTATTTGCTTATGTGCAATTTGCTTATTAATTAATTAGTTTATTTTATTTTAATTAATCATGGTTTAGGCTTGGAGTTATTTGACCCAAAAGAATGGGTTTGGGCTAATTGGAGAAGGAATAGATAAGTCATATAGAATTATGACCCATGTGAAGGTGTATATATAAATATATATGTGTATGTGTGTGTGTATGTTAATATATATATATATATATATATATATATATATATATATATGTATGTATGTATATTAAGTGGATATTGATTTGGTAAATTATACGTGGTGGGATTTATTATTATTATTATTATTTATTTTAGTTAGACTTAGGTTAGGATTTGGTAAATTATACGTGGTGGGGTTTTATAACATGAGAGTTTGTGGATTTTGGTTTGCATTGCTGACTTGAGGCCTTAAGTATGACGGTACCTAGGACATTGTTGTCAGAGTTTTTGGATTGGCTAAGATGGTCTGGTCAGACGTCTCTAAACTATGCCCCAACCCTCATAGAATGTCAGGTTACTACAGTACTTTTGGTAATGATTATTTGCGACGTTGATGCCATTTGTATCGAGGAATTTCACGGGTAGACTTAGTGGGGGGATATGTCATGAGCTAATCCTATATACTATCAATGATACCGTATCAAGTTGTGTGTTGTGGGTGGGTGCTAGTTACCGGTAATGCTACCTTACTGACAAGTATGTTGTGGGCGGGTACTAGTCACTATCAATGCTTTCATACATTCGAGTACAATGTCGGCGGGTTCTAGCCACTAGTCATGTTACCATGTTGTCGTTAGCCAGGTGCTTTGATTCGACGTGTTGATCCATTTGAAGATACGTTAAAGATTAGATGTTCGGTCTTGTTCTTCTTCCTTCATGTGGTTTCACGATGTAGGGTGTTATATCTTGAGGCTTGATAATGTGTCCTAGGGATGATGACTTGTGATTGTGTCCTAGGTTGGTTCTCCTTGGGATGTGCCTTGATTTTAGGGACGAAATCTCTTTAAGGAGGGTAGGTTGTAAAAACGGGTTCCTTTTTTTGATTTTTTTTCCTTTTTTTTGTGACATTGGGATACATGTATGGGATTCTCAGGATTCTTTTGAGCCTTTCTTCGAGTCCTGGATTCTTAGAAATGCATTGCGGACATTTTTCCCCATTTTCAGATTTTTGACCCGGGAGGTCACCGTGTGGGTCCAGGATGGATTTTTTGGCTCTGGATTATTTTTCGATGCCGTTTCTTTTGTTGTATATTATTTTAGACACTGGTATTTTTACTTGAACGGTTTTTATCCGTTTGAGCGTGTTTTGATGACTTTTGCTTTTCAGGATAGTGTGGGGCCACTCGTGGGATATTTTTGAAAAGTATAAAGGTGAGAGGAGAAAGAGAAATCAATTTTTCTCTCCCTTTTGGCCGGATCCTCTCTCCTCCATTTCTCCTCTTTTCTATTCTTAGATCTTCTTCTTCTTCTAGCTTTTGATCACTTTCTTTCAGGGATGAAGCCAATGAAGGGGGGGCAGCCTGGTCCCGTCCTCTATAATATATGTAATATTTTTTTTATATTTTTTCTACATATATGAAAAATTCTATGCAGTGCCCCCCCTAAATTTTGTGGTTTCTAAAATTCTCTCTTTATTTTCTCTTTTACTCTTCAAATTCTATAAATTTTCTTAAAAAAAAGGTTGAATTTTCATTCATCAATTGAAACTCTTAACTTTTTCCTTGTAAAATTCTCTCATTTTTCTTTCCTTTTTCTATTTCTAGTTCTTAAAATTCTTCTTTTTAACATGCATATTTGAATAATTTTATTCTTCTTCTTTTGTATTTTATATATGTTATGTTTATATATATATATATATATATATATATATATATATATATATATTTACACGGTGTCCCCCCTGACTTGAAATCCTAGCTCCATCCCTGCCTTCCTTTGTGATTCGGCCTTTGCCGTATAAGCGCTTTGTGTTGGCATTGGTAAGGCTTTGCCTAGCATCCGATTAGTTTTCCGTTTGGACCATTCTTTAGTTTTTTGTTTGAGCTCGGGTTTGGATTTGGAAGGTACCGCAAGAGGATTAGTTGTTCTCCTCGTTGTCCCCAATGTAACCCCGAAGTTTCGTCCCATTTGGAGAGTTTTCGTTTTGGCATTAGTTGAGGTTTTCACATCAAATTGAGATAAGGGTATCTTATGCTAGTAATTTACACTTTCTTTGAGTCTTATGGATGTGGGGAGGTGTAAAGCATGCTTATTCGCTAAATGTATATGTGAGCCATTGTTATTTGATCATATATGTGATATATGCAATGTTAAATGATTAGAGATGTGATCTTTATATTGTCTTGGACTTGTATTGAGTTTTAAAGATGTTGAGCATGATAGGAAGGGAGGGAAATTGAGTATTTGGTTGTCATATATTTGCCTAGACATACTCTATGTGGAAATTGTGACTATAGGGATATTTGGGTGCATATGTGGTTATATACACTTGGAGGACTTGATTAAATGTCTACTTGAGTAATTAGACATTATTCTAGCATTGTGAAATATTGAGTTTATTTTCATCATGCATAGATCATGGCGTGTGTGCCACTTTGGCTATAGGTTCATTATGGTATTCATTAAGTACATGAGTGCATGGGTGTGTAGCACGATATTCATGATTTATTTGATGGATAGATGCTACCTAAGTTTTAAAAAGGGGGCTTGGTGCCCAAGGGCTGTGAGCCCCTATGTACATTGGTCAATGGGGTGTGGTGGTGCACCAATTCGTTCTCATGTGCGGAATATGATTTCCAACATGCGTTACAACAAATATTGGTATTAGGGACACAACTTTTTATTGCTAAATACGAACAATTTGTTGTAAAAAACTTTTTGCAACAAAAAAATTTTGTGGCGAGGTTGTCCCTATAAGCCCGTCACAAAAGGTTTTATGCAACAAAAACTTTTGTTGCAAAAAAGTTAATCTTTTGCAACGAGAAATTTACTTGTCACGAAAGATACGATGATTAGCAACAAATAATTTGTCTCCATTTCTCCAAAAATTTGTTGCTTAATACAATTCCATTCCAAGAACTTTTGTTGCTAAAGGACTTTTGTTGCTAAAAAGTTAATCTTTTTGCAACAAGAAATTTACTTATCCCTAAAGAGATGACAATTGGCAACAAACAATTTGTCCTTATTTCTCCACAAATTTGTTGCTTAATACAACACCAATCCAAGAAATTTTGTTGCTAAATATACAATAATTTGCAACAAAACTAGGTTGTTTCTAAAAATATATCTATTTGCAACAAAACTAGATTGTTTCTGAAAATATATCTATTTGCAACAAAATTGAATTTGTCACTAAAAGATAAAACAATTGCAACAAAAATATATTTGTTTCCTAATATAATGCAATTTGCAACAAAAATATATTTGTCACCTCATGTAGTGCAATTTGTAACAAAACTACCTTTGTCACAAGTGTTGATATTTAACAACAAATATTTTTAATTACCAATTTTTTAAAATTTGTGAATAAATGCATTAAAAATCATAATTTGGTTTTTATTTTTTTTTTGTTTTCTATAATGTTTTTCTTCCTCACAATAAACTAATTTATAAGACATCTTTTTTTTTTTTTACTACTACCAAACATGTCAATTAAACAAATTATCAATTACAAAATATACAATCTAATATTTTACAAATGAAAAGGTAAAATACTATTTCATATATCCAATCATCCATACATATTCTAAATATGGGATCAAGACGAAATTCATATACATAGAGAATGATTAAACCTATATCCAACAATATTGGGAGATCCAAAAGTGAATTTTTCCTAAGCCCATATGAAACAAAAAACATAATCAATGGGACAATAACAAAAACTAATACCTCTACATGTAACCTGCCAACAATGGGGAGATGGGAGATCGATAAATACAATCCCTTGTAAGAACCAAAAGTACAAAAGTGAGTTTGTTTTGAGCCCAATGAAACAAAAAAATAGTCACTGGGTCTACAACAAAAAGATGTCAAAAAGCTAATAAGCCCAGCTACCTACAATCTGCCAACAATGGGAAGATGGGAGATCCATAAATCCAATCCCATGTAAGAACCAAAAGTACAAAAGTGAGTTTATCCTGAGCCCATATGAAACAAAAAATATAGTTAATGGACCTGCAACAAAAAGTCAAAAAGATAATCCCAACCACATGCAATATGTTAAAAAATATAAAAAAATTATGATTAGTTCAAAACACTACAACAAATTTAAGTTTCTACAAAGTCTTCTTTCAAGGCCTTTTTTACACACTAAGAATGCAAAAATACAAACCAAATAACAAACCACAAGATAACAAATAATTATTAAAGAGCACAAAAAAATATCTTAAACAATTCACATTAATACAAAAGCCAACATGTTTGGAATGATTACAAATACATTAACATGTTTGGTCTTCAACTATTGATGGACTTACAGTAGGTGTTTGTGGGTTCGATTATCTTCTTCCTCTTTTTACACCTAACTTTACTCTTTAATTTAGAAAATGGGCACCTATTTTGGCTTCATCTTCTTCTCCATCACCATCAACACCATCTCTCTTTCTCACACACAGAGTCAATATAAATATACACACATGCTAATGGTGTAATGATGAAGGTTGTGATATTTCTCTAATTTCATGTGAGCACACATGATTCCTTAATTAGCTAGCTGAAAATTAGCTCTCTACATGTGCTCCATTGCAAATTGAGAAATATTTCTATATTTTTGGGAGGAGATTAATGAATGTAAGGTTGAAATATGTACCTAGCATGACAGAACCCACTAAGGAGCTGGTCCACTACACCTACTACAGAAATTGGTCCAATGCCTCACTAATTTCTTTGTAATTACTACTATTGACCTAACAAAATTTAAAAATCTAATTTATTTATAATTACTACTAGCGACTTGACACAATTCAAAAATACAGTTCACTGTAAAGTATTCAAGTCTTTCTAAAGGCAAAGTGAGCTTGGAAGTGAATTAAATTTTTTACTTTTTTAAAAAAAGGACTACTAAACTAAGAAAGAGCATCAAAGTTTATGAACCAACTATTTAGTAATACATCAAGACAAAAAAAAAATAAAAAATAAAAAGAAGAAGAAGATCAGTTGTATTAAAGAACCAATCGTAAAACAATGCCTTTTGCTATAGTTCAGTTCATTGTATTACATTGAAAGGACAGCACAAGCAAAGTCTCATGCATGCTCCTTCCATAACTAACTAAAATAAACTTGACTAATCCATGATACTCTTAAAAGACTGATGTTAAACAAATCAGACTTCTCATGTAACCCCCATCATTATTCAATTAGAAATTTCTGTCCTTTTCTTTCAAGTTTAGCTTTCTTTTTCAATTCTTTTAGAACTGTCAACAACATTGGCACTGGGGATTTTTGTAAAATTCAACCAAAAGTTGTAAAAACAATAATATACAACAAACAATTCAAAGTAGCTGTTCTCAATTTTGAATCTGTACACCTACGTTTGTCACCTAGAACTTTTGCCATTGCACCAAGTAATGGCCCCTCTATGTAGACTATATCTTCTTTCAAATTGCAAAACAGATTTGTCTTATTCATATTTTTGTTAGTGGTTCTCTTTGGTCTTCTCTAATTGGTGCTATAACTTTTTCTAAATACATTCATTTCTCATTCAGCCATGTCATTTTTCCCCCCAGTGGTCTAAATCAAATTATCAGTTCAAAAGTATGCTGAATTTGTGGACAAGTTTCTTAATGGCCAACATTATTAGGCTTAGGAGACTTTAAGAAAGAGATACTATCATGCCTCAATTTTCAGTAGAATCTAATATTTTATTTTAAGTGAACCTTCTACCAGTCATCTATTTTGGAGACATAACAAAAATTATCTGCAGATTCTACTTTACTTAGAATTTCTGATTGCACTTTGAGTGAACCTTCTCTAAATCATGTGTCTAAGGCTTTCTGGAAGGTTCAATATTTGGCCTTAAGAGATCTCATGTGCAGCAACTCTTAAAAAATATGGGTCTCTAATCTTTCTGGAAGGTTATGACATGTCCAATTATAATAATGAAAATGTCTTAAAACTTCCTGGTTGTAACTCATTTATTATTCTTATGGATATAACATTTAGGTCGTTGACAAGGTGAATGGCTATCTTTTCCCAAGGGAGAATATCAAGGCTCTAACAAATCTTGTATTGCAAGTGGTATCAAAGGGAAGATTATCACCTCTAGCTCACAATGTTGCATTGCTTGGAAAATATTCTTCTAAAAACTTAATGGTTCAAGAAACTGTCGAAGTTTATGCTTCGCTATTAGAAAATGTTCTCAAGTTCCCATCTGAAGTTGCAACTCTCAAGGATGTTAGCGAAACTTATGAAAGATAATTTGTATATATATATATATATATATATATATTGACAGTTAACCCTAATTTCATAAGAAAAATGATAAGGAAATGTAAATTAATTATGCTTACCAAATATAAATAAAAGGAATTGTGGTTTACATTCAATTATTCAAATCACTTACCCAAAAAAAAAGAGGTAGGTAAAGTCGGACTCTAATTCTAAAACAATGCATGAGCGGTCAATAGGCTCAAGGATTTCCATGCGTATTACTAGGACTATATATGTAACAAGATCACAAACACCACACATTACAGTTAATGGACACAAAAGAACATCAATGCTTGTAGTTTAGTATTTAATATTTATGCTCAAGAAATAAGTATAATGACCTAAAATTTAGGAAAGTACTCTAGATACAATCATGCTACATATTATTTAATTAGAATTCTCTTTAATGGAATGCTTGAAGCAAATGGTGATTTTGCCACCTAATTAATGGAAAAGCATTTCACTTCTATGGCAATCAACTATAGAAAAGTACCTTATTGTTAACTAATTAATTTCAACAGTATATTTCATTCAAGTATTTTGAAAGAGACAAAACTAAAATTAGAACTTAGAGAGATACAATGACTGGGCTGCTAAGTGTTGTTTATTCTGGGATCTGATTCAAGATAAGTGCAGCATATGGGTTCCTTGCCTGAATAGAGTCTACCAAACTAACACTAAAACAAGAAAACAACCATCCAAGCATAATCAATCACCACCAAAGAATCACATGCACAATTTTCCCAATACCTCAACCAGTAAACAAAACTATTATCCTTCTAATAACACAAAAAAAAAAAAAAAAAAAATGCATTCTAGCAAATATCAAATTCAGTGTTTGCAGTAAAGTTTTTAATTTAACTTACTAAGCAAGATGATAAGCCTCCCTAGTTGATGAGTCCCCTAGAGCTTGTTGCACCAATGCTGTTAAAGATGTGAGTTGAGCCTGCAAAGAGCTTATTTGGTCCCCCATTCTCTCTTCTGTTACTTTGGACAAGTTGATTTGATCCCCCAATCGCTGTTCTGTTGCCTCAGCCCTTCGATTTGCCTCTTCAGCCCTTTGTGTTGCCTCTTCAGCCCTTTGATTTGCCTCCTCAGCCCTTTGATTTGCCTCATCAGCCCTTCGATTTACTTCATCGGCACTACGCCTAGCATCAACAACATCTTCACGACTTCCCCGTAAAGAGACAGTGGACATTTCCCCATGACCAAGCCCACGAACATATGACAAGGTTGAACCAACTATTTGAAAGTAAATCTCGTTACGGGTCAACTGTGTAAAGGAATTGGATACACTATCTGAATTTTCTTGTTGATTGACCTTTTGAATCATTTTATCCTGCATATCTATACAAATTGGTACGTAAGTAATTAATAAATACAAAATAATAAACTAAAATTTACCAGTTATGCGTATACATACATAGAGACCCTGACAATGTTGGGTAACCCTGTAAACTCTAATTAAATTTGTGTTAGGCTTTAATCACAAATTATCATAAAACCCTAGATCTTAGAACTTCAATTAATTTCACATCCATATAACGCATAAATAAATATAGTTAGATATACATACCTCTATTCATGATATCAAACCTTGTTGAGATTAAATCCAACATCCAGATCCTTTAACTACGAACCAATCTGCAACTCTGATCAACAGCAAAGACGGAAACTAGTTTCTCTCTCTTGGCCTTTTGCACACAATAACCTTTTACATGTTGTTTCAATAATCGTACATAATTGATGGAGTATATGCACTTTTATAAAGGCAGAAAGAGGACCAATTTTCCTTTTAGTAACATAATTCTACTTTCCATCAAAGTGAGGAATTAGAAAGAAAACATTTCTCCAATAAGTAATTACCAAAAAAGGTAATTATAAGTTGACCAAGAATAATTAATTAATATCTATTTACTTAGTCACCAAGTAATATGTCACATGTCTAAATCATGTGGGCCACAATTAAATAAATAATCTTACATTCTCCCACTTGGCACATATGATAACTTCTGTAGTGGTTTAGTAAAATAGTCATTAGTATGCACAATAAATCAAATTAAGATATTAATATGGTCATCATAAATACCATGGTAAACAAACTACCAATGTGAGTCATAGCGGTTGTATGTCACTAAACGACATAGTCCCTTCCATGTACCACAACACTAGCAACCCATTTAACATAGTCTATAAGTGAGAAGCATCAATAAAGGTCTAGCAATAATGTCTTTTCTAAGACTATTCTTGTTTTCATCATTTAAAGTAATACAAGCATGTACATACATAAATTAACAGGAAATATCAGAAACAGATTTTAATGAGCTCAAAATGACAAATATATATAAGCATTGTTAAGCAATCCACAACAAAAATAATAATTAACTTTGATTACATTCAATACCCATTCTTTCAACATGCCTTATGAATGTCTTGGGTGGTAATCCTTTTGTCAATGGATCTGCAACCATAAGCTGTGTGCTTATATTTTCAAAAGACACTCATTGTTTCTGAACTTCTTCTTTAACGGTAAGATATTTCAGCTCCATATGCTTAACGCTATTGGAATACTTATCGTTTTTAGTAAAGAAAACAGCTGCGGTGTTATCACAATAAATTTTCAGCGGTCTGGAAATTGAATCCATAACACCAAATCCCGAAATAAAGTTCCGCAACCACAAACTATATTTGTAGCCTCAAAGCATGCTACAAATTCAGCCTCCATAGTTGATGAAGCAATAATAGACTGTTTTGCGCTTTTCCATGATATTGCCCCTCCAGCTAAAAGGAACAAATAACTAAAAATGGATCTTCTACTATCCACACATCCAGCAAAATTTGAGTTTGAGTAACCAATAACCTCTAACTCACCAGTCTTTCTAAATGTGAGCATATAATTCTTTGTTCCTTGTAAGTATCTCATAACTTTCTTTGCAGCTTTCCAGTGATGCATTCCTGAATTGCTTTGGTATCTGCCTAGCATTCCAACTGCAAAACCAATATTTAGACGAGTGCAAACCTGTGCATATATAAAACTTCCCACAATAGATGCATAAGGAATATTTTGCATTTCTTTTCGTTCTAATTCATTCTTTGGGCATTGCATCAAACTAAATTTATCCCCTTTCTGTATTGGAACAATACTAGCGGAACAATGTTCCATACCAAATCTCTCTAGAATTCTCTCAATATATGTTTTCTAAGACAATCCTAACAATCCACGTGACCTATCACGGAATATTTCTATTCCTATCACGTAGGATGCCTCACCCATATCTTTTATGTCAAAATTCTTAGAGAGAGAATTTTTAATTTCATGCAATAAACCAAGATCACTATTAGCAAGCAAAATATCATCAACATATACAATCAGAAATATAAATTTGCTCCCACTAATCTTCTGGAATATACACTGATCAACAGTATTTTCTTTAAAACCAAAAGAAGTAATAGTATCATTAAACTTAATATAACATTGTCGGGAAGCTTGTTTAAGTCCATATATTGACTTCTTAAGTTTATAGACCATGCGTTCTTTACCCTCTAATCTGAAGCCTTCAGGTTGATCCATATAGACTTCTTCCTCTAAATTCTCATTTAGAAAAGCTGTTTTCACATCCATTTGATGTAACTCTAAATCATAATGAGCTACAAGCGCTATGATAATTCTAAAGGAATCCTTCTTAGATACAGGAAAGAAGGTTTCTTTATAATCAATGCCTCCTATCTGAGTGAAGCCCTTGACTACAAATCTAGCTTTATATCGTTCAATATTGCCATTAGAGTCGCGTTTAGTCTTAAAGACCCATTTACACCCGACTTGTTTAAATTCTTCAGGCAATTCAACGAGTTCCTAAATTTTATTTTGTTCCATTGACTTCAATTCCTCGTTCATGGCATTAATCCAATTAGTAGAATTATTACTATTAATGGCTTGTGAATATGTAACCAGATCCTTACATATCCCTATATCAAAATCAGATTCATGTAGATATACCACATAATCATCCGAAATAGCAGGTCTCGTTTCTCTTTGAAACCGTCTTAATGTTATTCCTTGTGGTTCTTCTATAACTTCATTGGTGATAGTTTCATTATAGAGTTGTTGATCATTTAATTGTTCTTCGTTGTTATACAATTCAACAACTGGAGAAACAATTATTTCTTTAGAAGTTGTGGGTAAAGGGATTTGTACCCTAATTTCTTGAATGATCATATTCTCATTTTTATCACTCCCACTGATTTCACCATCCTCAATGAATCTGGCATTACCGGTTTCAGCAATTCTTGTACTATGTGTAGGACAGGAAAACCTATACCCTTTAGATTTTTCTGGGTAACTAATAAAGTACCCACTAACTGTTCTAAAATCCAATTTCTTTTCATGTGGATTATAAATCCAAACTTCCGCTGGGTAACCCCAAACATGCAGGTGCCTTAAACTAAGTTTCCATCTCGTCCACAATTTAAATGGAGTTTTTGAAACTGCCTTACTAGGAACCCTGTTTAATATATACATAGCAGTTCTAAGAGCATACATCCACAATGATATGGGTAACGAGGAATTACTTAACATACTCCTAACCATTTTCATAAGAGTACGATTACACCTTTCAGCTACACCATTCTGCTGTAGCGTACCTGGCATAGTGTATTGAACACAAATGCCACGCTTTTTAAGGAATTTAGCAAGCGGTCCAGGGCATTGACCCGTTTCATCATACTTTCCATAATATTCACCACCTCTATCTGATCTTACTATTTTTACTCTTTTATCTAGTTGTCTTTCAACCTCATTTATGTATACTTCAAGAGTATTCACTGCTTGAGATTTTTCATGCAACAAATAGATATATCCATAACATGAAAAATCATCTATAAATGTGATAAAATATTTTTCTCCACCAAAAGATAGAACATCAAAAGGTCCACAAATGTCTGTATGAATAATTTCAAGAGGCTCTATACTTCTTGTCGCTCCATTCTTTGTGTGTTTGGTTTGTTTACCTTTAATATAATCTACACACACAATAAAATCAGTAAAATCTAGATTCCAAAGAATTCCATCTTTTACTAATCTTTTTAACCTTTCATTGGATATATGACCCAATCTTTTATGCCACAAGAAAGATGAATTTTCATTAATTAAGCTACGTTTAATTCCATCATTATGATTCAAGGTCAAAAGTGTTTCAGAAAATAAATCATCAAGCTTTATCTTGTATAAACCATCAACAAGAATACCAGAACCAACAAATTGGGATTTTTTGAACAAACTGAAACATCCATTACCAAATTTAAATGAAAAACCATCAACATCAAGTTTGGACAAAGAAATCAAACTATGGGAAATTGAAATAACATAAAGAGTTTTAAACAAATCTAAATGAAATCCACTATCTAAAACTAAACAAAATGCCCTAATGGCTTCAACTGGAATGTTCTCCCTATTCCCTGTGAACAAGAAATCATCATTTGGATTTATGGTTTGGGTTGAAAGGAATCACTGCATCGTATTGGAAATATGAACATTAGAACCTAAATCAACCCACCAAATATTAGAAGGAACTTCAATTAAGTTTGATTCAAAACAAACAAAAGCCAAAGACTTACCCTTCTTTTGCAAACCATTCTTTACGTTTCATACAATCTTTCTGAAAGTGTTCAGATTTGTTACAAAAATGACATTTATCATTCTTGCGTTCCTTCTTTTGAGTAGCTTGATCAGAATCCTTTATTTAGGGTGTTGCTCGCTTAATGCCTTTTCCAGGCCTTTTCCCAAATTTCTTTCTAGCTTCTTGAGTCATGAGATGAACATTATGATTATCTTGTTGCTTAAGCCTTCCTTCCTCCTGAACTAACATACTGGCCAATTCATTCACATTCTACTTATCCTTAATAGTGTTATAGTGAATTTGAAATGGCCCATACTGAGTAGGAAAAGAATTGAGAATAAATTGAATGAGAAAAGTCTCATCCACATTCATCCCTAAAGTTTTCAATTTCACAACAAGATTAGTCATGTCAAGAATATGTTCATGCATACTATAAGTACCATCAAAACGCATAATAGTGAGGTCAGCCATTAATTTCCCTGTAAGAGACTTATCTGCAGTACGGAAACGTTCTTTAATATTTTTTAAATATTCCTTAGCACTATCAGTTTGGGGAAGAGTTGTTTTGATATTATTTGCAATAGTCATTCGCATAAACATAATACTTAATCTGTTCGATTTCTCCCAAACTTTATGGAGAGACTTTTCTTCCTCACTACTTTCACCAGTAATAGCAATAGGTTTCTCAATATGAAATGTTAAATCAAGATCTAGCACACCTAACGTGAACTGAACTTGCTCATACCATTCTGAGAAGTTAGTCCCATTGAGAATTGGAACAGATGAAGCATGTGAATTCACTGAAACAGGAAAAGATACTGCAATAAAATAATCATAATAAGGTAAATGCTCATAACATTAATACTTTGAGATAACAACACATATAAAAATAAATAAATACATTGTACAACTATGGTACTCCTTTGGATAGTAACCACAAAATATAAAAAAATGATGCTTAAATGTATTTATTTATATATAACTTCATTGGTGCACTAATTAATTAAATAGATAAGTTACCTTTAGATATCCTATATCTACCCAATTAAAAAATTACATACAACCCCTTAATGTTTATTTAATCACTTGAAAATTAATTCCCTTTGAGGAATTATTTCTAATAATTGAATAAACCCAATATTCATGAATTTTACAAAAAAAATTATAAGCATCATTATTCATAAAATATTGTAATTATGTCTACCACTAATATTAATATCCATTAATCATTATGGTTAGACCACTTTAATAGCTATCAACCTTTCTATAATATGAATATTTAATTATCTAGTGATAAAATCAACATTAAGTTACCCACCACATTATACACATAAAATTTACAAAGTCAATTAATTAAACTACTAGTGGGTGTCCAAAAACTTCATAAATATATGTACTGTAATATATATTAATAAACATATATTTAATCAGGTATAAAACATCATTATAATTCACAACCTCAATTTATGCAGCGGAATAATAATCAAATATGTCAGTAAATCGATCATGCACGAAATAGCAAAAAAAAAAAAAAAACAATCTCTTTTGCTTTGACGTTGTGATAGTAAACTTAACATGCATTACCCAACAGGAGACAAGGACACTTGGTACACACATGCTAAAAAAAAAATTCACTTTTGATTTGTTTTTTTTGTCTCATTATGATATGTGTGTATATATATATAATACAATCACCCAGATTCTTTTCAAACTTTCAACAAATACATATAATATATATGTTAAATATACAACTTCAACTTCTGTCATCATATGCACGAAATTATTGCAGCTTTGTCACACCATCCTCATTATGTTTATATAACCATCAACAAAGCAATAAGGTTTTTTTAACCAAAAAAAAAACAAAGCAATAAGGTTCGGATATTGAGGCATATTATAATAAGTCAACAAATCTGAATAAGAGATATTGATTACTTTATGAAACAATATCAAGAGACAAACTGATCACATTAAACAGATTCGTCACTTAGTCACAAACGGGTACACCAATTAAAAAAACAAAATTGATCTAGCAGGCGGATCTCTATTAAAACAGTGTCCCAATATATAAATTTAAATTATTAAATTATTTAATTTTAATTTAAACTCACACATATTATTTATGCAAGAATAATAGAAAATAATTAGTTCTAAAACTACGGGCTCTGATACCACATGTAAACTCTAATTAAATTTGTGTTAGACTTTAATCACAAATTATCGTAAAACCTAGATCTTAGAACTTCAATTAATTTCACATCCTTATAACGCATAAATAAATATAGTTAGATATACATACCTCTATTCATCATATCAAACCTTGTTGAGATTAAATCCAACATTCAGATCCTTTAACCACGAACCAATCTGCAACTCTGATCAACAGCAAAGGCAGAAACTGGTTTCTCTCTCTTAGTCTTTTGCACACAATAACCTTTTACGTGTTGTTTTAATAATCGTACATAATTGATGGAGTATATATACTTTTATAAAGGCAGAGAGATGACCAGTTTTCCTTTTAGTAACATAATTCTACTTTCCATCAAAGTAAGGAATTAGAAGGAAAACACTTCTCCAATAAGTAATTACCAAAAAGGTAATTATAAGTTGACCAAGAATAATTAATTGATATCTATTTACTTAGCCACCAAGTAATATGTCACATGTCCAAATCATGTGAGCCACAATTAAATAAATAATCTTACAAACCCGTGTCCCATCCTCCCTACAGTGTGTTCAGTGATAAAATGTCACCATGTCTGGTTCTTCTTCTGTCTCCATGTTTCGCTATTTCAGTTAAGATAATCATAACCAAATATTATTAATTTTACATTTGTAAATTTATATAATTATAAAAAATAATAGAACATAGGAAATAACCATTTCATAACGAAATGTGACAAATGGCTTTGAGCCACCACGGTGATTTGTTAGATTCTTTGCCTTGTTTGCTTTATTGATAGTGCTCCTATTCTGCATTTCATTTTAATGAATTGTCATTACCAACCTAAGCTTACAAATATAACATTACCATATGAATAGAAAAAGAATAATGTACCTGGAATGTCGGGGTCATGAAATTTTTACATATAGCTTGCCAATCCCCAGGACAAACATTTCTATAAGGCTTTCTCCTAGCCCTCTCTACATCATCTCCGAAAGATTTAAAATACATGTGCATGCGATTTTTATGTTCTCGAAATTGAGCTGCAAGCCATTTGTCAAGTCCATTTCGGATGCGAGAATTGTCGAGATCAATCACGAAATTTTCCTGAAATAAAGTAGATATATGAGAATACTTGCTTAAATAACTTAAGGTATATAAAAGAATTCAAAAACAAGACATGTTTTGTAATATCATCTGAATAACACAATGTTGGTTCAAGGCGCTAGTTGCACTGAGGCGCTGTAGTTCCCTTGGAGCCTAGGCGAGAGGCGCACAGTGCGTTTTATAATATTGAATCCATCCTCTTTTTCTTTTTTTTTTGTTCTACTAAGTTATATATATTTATGCTCATCGATTTACCATACCGATGATATCCGTGAATTTATTTCTAATGAAATTAAAAGCTTTATTTACTAGTATGTGTGTGCAAACAATTAAACATCAACAACAAAGCTTCCGGCCAAGCAAGCAACATCGAATTACTTTCCTTTTTCCTTCAAATAGCAAACTAGGTTCTGATTTTTAATCAATTCAGATTGGTTCATGCAAACCAGCTTATGGGTTGTTGAATTTAGGTAATTTGCTACATGTAATTATTTTCACAGATCTTTTTCTTGTTTTTAAATTATTTTATGTGTTTGATTTTTCACTAGAATTTCTCAATATCTTCTTGAATTTAGTTGATTTCAATTTCAAAATCAATGATATATATTGGTTTCAAATTCTGATTCTGGAAATTGTTTGTCTTTTTTCTTTTTCTTTGATAAGCAAAATGTTTGAAAAATAATTTAAGATGTGGGTCTAATCCAGGCCTCGAAATCAAAGCCTAGAGATATCAGAGGGAGCAGACATGATGAACCTTCATTCTCTTTGCACATTACCATGCTTCCTTCAAATAATGTTTGTCTCTTTACTATTACAATAGGTCCTCCATAGAAAGTTGTAGTAGTAACAGAACACATTTGACCTTTTTCAGTCTTTGGGCATTAATTTTAATCATGTCTAAGAACCCATTTGTAATAACCATGAGTAATATAGATTAATATGCTGATGTGCATGGCTGATAATGGTGGGCTGCTGCTTTGATTAATTTTCATTAATGATGGGTTGGGTTGCTTGATTTTTATTGTTGCATTTTAGTAAATGTGTAAAAAAAATTTATTGTTGCATTCTTGGCAACGAAGTTGAACATTGCAATTCAAGAGTTATAATTTCTTTCTTTTATATTAATTAATGTTCCCATTGCTTCTTAGTCATCACTACAATTTCATATTATATTAATTTTTTTATTTTAAAGTAAATCAAACAAGGTCACGCATCTTTTCGCGTAACTGATCTCAAGGATCCAAATCATAAAAACTTGAAAGAACACTACTCACTAAACATTGAAGTAGATATTTGCCGCCAAGATTTTGTATGGACTAGTTGAGGCTAATATATGTTCAAAATTGATGGTTATGTTCTTATTTTGCAAAAGATAATGGCTTCCTTTGAAGTTAGTGGTTTAGTTTTTTATTTCTCGTTCACTTTATTATATTAGATGGATGGTTGTAGACATGGTACTTGACTTTATGTTTTTGATTTAATGAGAAGTAACATAATGGATTTTGGTTATTCTCTTTAATAAATACATGTTATGTTCTTATGTATGGTTATGTAATATGATGTGTGAATTATTTTTTCACATTGGAGATAGGCTTAATTTGTGATATAGATTAACAAGCGCAATACAAGAATTTTTGTTTCCATTATAAAGCAAGGATGAAATACCCAATTTTGGCACTACCAATGAAGGATTAAACAAAAGAATGTACATGAATGCATAGTTTTAAATGTAACATATGCTAATTAACATATAACTGGTCTATGTTTGAACACAAATTATACTCAGCCTAACTCCCACATTCCATAATTTCACAAGTTAAGATGCATGTAATCATCAACTAACCCATTCTCATATAATTTAATTAATTCAATTATATAATATAAGCACCTATATGCATATAAATGCTTAGATAAGTACAGGAAGGTACTAATCAAATAGAACTCTAATTTACTAAGGATGATGTCATTGTCCAAATCATAATTCCCTTGCGACTGACTCCACACACTAGGTACAATTATGCTCATGTATGTGTGAGTTATATCTAACATATGCAATAAGGAAATAATTTAAACAAGTATAACCATATATATATATATATATATATATATATATATATCCATTATCACTCACACCTCAGTTTCATATCTGTCATGATACCATATATAGCTATAACAATTAATAACAAGATATTAGCAAGTATAACCGTATCAGCATATTCACCTATAATTGTTATCACAAATAATTTACTAATATCTATCTTTGGTAATAGATGTAATTAGCCTATAATATACTAAACAATGGAAATTAAAATATAGTAATGATCTACTTGCCTGTTACTTCTTCACAGGTTGTATTTCCTCCAAAAGATCTCCCTTCAAATTCCACTCCCTTCCTGATTAATCATGAACTTTCTTCTCTGGCTAAATCTCTTCCTATATAGAAACCTTTTTATTATCAGGCGACAATTTAAAATTAAAATACTTATCTGCCTAACAATCCCATTATACACACACACACACGCGTGTAATGCATCGTTAATATAATAGGTACTATATATTAAATTAAAAATCGCCCTTTTTTCGTCCGACCTCCTCCTCCTTATTTGCCATAGGGAAGCTAGGGTGCAGAAGAGGCCCCGAAAATCATAAGTTGTTGCGCAATCTCACCAACTTCAGAAAAGAAATATCAGAATAATGGTCATTAAGGTCTGGAATGGGCTTGTTGACTATAAGTTAAGGGATTTGGGCGCTTGGCTTCTAGTTAAGCTTCAAAAGGATTCTATATATACTTTCAGTTTAGAGTTCAAAGAGATAGAAGGGATCCAAGATCTCTTCCTTACTTAAGGAAAGGCCAAAGCCAATTCCAGAAATCACAAACGGGCATGGGCGATTCGGATGTTTATCTTTCGATTTTGCATCTAGAACGGAGGTCTATGGTCAAGGAGTCCGTTAGAGCCTCCGAGTGGTCTGAACCCACATGCCTTTTCTTGCTTAGGAGCTACTATTTCCCTCCTCTTCTGATACACACTAGATTTAGAATTTCATCTAGTGGATGTATATATAGCAAAAAATATCTTCCTTTTATATGTGTGTGTGTGTGTATAGCAAGAGAAATATAGAGAGAAACAAAGACCTGGTAATTGAGCCTACAATCTGATGATGATAAACTAGGGCATCGTCTTCATCTTGAGAAGGAGAGAACAGATCGATCGAGTGAAAGATTGGGGCTTCCTTAGCTTCTTTTTCTGTATTACCTAACCTCCAAACCAGCGAACATACGTTGTGAGCTTTCCTCCCTTTCTTGTGTTGGTTTCCCTCTTCTCTTCTTCCACCTCTACTGACCCAATTAATGGATTCATCTTTCGTTGAAAGCTTGACAGAAAGCAGAGCATATATGATTTGTGTTGAGAAAAGAGTAGAGTTAAATTTCTCACACTTAATTCACGTGCCACCAAAATGTTTGGCGCTAAAATTTCCCGCAAAAAATTTGGGTAGATATTTTGGGCATTAGAGACACACCACACCATCCCTAAAAGGTAATATATATATATATATTAATTCTTTTGAGAAAGTTAAAACTAATACCCCAACTTAAATTTAATTATTTATTTTTACTATGATGATGTTGAATTTTTAGGATTTTTTTTTTTTATTAATTATTTTTGAAAATTACTCTCACTATTCCAAAAATATGTATATCTTTTGAAAAACTGTGACTCATTAATATTTTTTAAGGAAACTTTGAATTTGAAGCATGGACATAAACATGTGGGACACGAGTATGATACCTTTGTGAGTCACAACTTCCTAAAAGGGACATCTATTTTGGAAAAGAGGGAGTAGTTCTTATGAAACCATCTTATATCATCAACTATATATATATAAAGCACAAACATGGGATACGAGTACGACACAATAAAGATTTAATGTTTGAAAATTTTAATTATTATCTATTAGACTTCTAAGTTTAATTATTTTGTATAAACAATGTATTTAATTAGTATATAGTTTATGTTTTAACTCTGTCCATTATGCAAAAAATAAGAAAATTAATTTTCAAAAAGGAAAATTCTTTGTTGGAAAAGTTATAAAATATTTAAATTTCATTTTAAAAAAAAGACTATTTTTTTAATCTAGGACATCAAATTCATAACACAATGGAGTTTTGTTTCGATAATAAATATTTTTCAATAATGTTTGTTCGGTAGGAAAGAAACAATTTGGCTAGGAGGGAGAGATGGATGAGATCAACATCCCTAAAGAAGATAGTGTCATTCCCTATTTTTGTTCATCAATTGGATGTAAGAGAAGAGAATAAGCTCGATTACAATTTAGAGTAAAGTGCCTTTACACACCCATTTGATAATATCCTTACAGTGCACACATATATATCAACCCCCTCTTGTATACAAAACACCATTGATCAATTTGAAAAAAATATGCAAATACATACCACCAGACATATTAAAGTAATACATTAACCAAATTACCCTTATATACACAATTTTCATATTATTTAAAACAAAATTACATTTATGGAATAACCAAAGAGGACAAAATCTAATATGACCAATCTAACATTTTGGTCACTCTATGTTAACATTGTTGGGTTCCAGCGATTTCATGAGTTGTCTGGGATAGCAACTTTTGTCACTGTCAACTATAGGCTGGTCGCCAACACCGGTACCAACACTGACGACCCACATTCGCATAGACTGTCGTCTCTCTCTCTCTCTCTTTAGACTTACTGACTCATCGAGAACTATGTACGTACCCACGCATATGTTGTCCAAATATGATATAAGTATACCATATACTATAGTATTACTATTTAAATATTATGTAAAAAAAAATAATGTATGTATATATAATTATTATTATAAAACAATAATAATATATATAATAAAATAATAATATATATTTTATTATATAATAAAATAAAACTATATAAAAATAAAAGAACCATAATAGGTCGAGACTATAATTTGATTCTATATCCT